TGGGCATTCTGGTGGTGTGGAGAGAGAGCAGAGGCTCTTGGCAATGCTGCAGAGAGGCCTCCTAGCCAAAGTCTAGCTCTGACTTGGAAGAGCCCTAAGATTGCTTTCAACAAATATAGCTCAGAGCAATGAAATGTGACATCTTGTCTAAGGTCACCCAACTCATCAAACTTACCTTGGGCCTTGCTCCAACCTCTGGGCTCTGATTTGCCAAGACAAAGGCAATCTAAGCAGAACTGTTTGATCAGGCCACATGTAAAAGATCCAAGGGTTGGGACTCGGCCCTGTAGATTATAGGGAGCCATAGAAGGGGTTATGATCAGAACTGTCATTGAAGGATCTGTGTGGACTAAGATGGAGGAGGGAAGAGAAGGAATGAGAGCAGAGGGGGATGGCAAGGGGTCCAGTAGTCAGGAAACTGTACCTCCCTCATTGTCTGGGTTAGTCTCTCCCAGAGGGCTTCAAATGTGGAGCCATCTTCTTGCGACTACCTGTTGTGTCCCTGCGCTGGGCCTCTGGGAAGGTCTTATAGGGAATCATACTCACTCTTAAGACTAACAGCAGACTGTATTAGTGGGACAGACCCTAGGATGGAGGGATAGCAAAAGGCTGGCAGCCCACCTTGGTCCTGTCTCTGCTAACCTCTGCTAACCTTCCCACATGAACCCATCACAGAGGATCCAGGAGTCCTGCCAAAGTGGCACCAAGTGGCTAATGCAAACACAGGTCAAAGTGAGGAGAAAGCGAGGAGCCCAGAAGGACAGAGGATCCCCGCCCAGTCTGAGCCAGAAGAACACTCGGCTATACAGGGCCAACCGGGATGCCAGAGTCGGGGGCCATCCTCGGCTCTCTGGCCAGATGGGTCCACATGCCCATCGACGTCATCGGCTAAGGAGGGAGGCTGCCCTCCAGAGCCCCTGTTCCTCCACAGAACCTCTCTGCTCTCCCAGGCAAGTAGTCTCCGAGCCCAGTGTGATTTCCCTTTCTGTCCCACAAGTCTCCTCAGTGTTACCTAGGGTGAGGACACTCTGACCTGTCATATCCCTGTTCTGGCTCAGATCTGCCCCAGAGCTAGTGAGGACCTGAAGGGGAAAAAACCTCTCCAGAACTGTTTCCCTACCTGTGAAAGGGACAGGAGATGAGTTCTACTCCATTCTAGATAGGAAACATCTAGAAATCCCAGGCACTGGTGCAAGGCCAGCAGCAACCGTCATCTGACTACAAAATAATTTTCCATGGCTCAGCCTCACAGGTTTGCATGTCACATGCTGCAGTGAGGCTCTAGTGAGGCTTTCCCAGTCACCCGGGGTTGCCTGGCCCCTGCTCTGGGCTCTTGCTAACCCCTGCATCCTCTTGTGTTCAGTGAGTCTGACAGTGACCTAGAGCCTGTGGGGGCTGGAATCCAGCATCTCCAGAAGCTGTCACAAAAGCTGGACAAAGCCATCAAGGCTGAAGAGAGGTGAGCTGCATCCTGGGGTGCATCAGGGTGAAATGGCCATGGGCCCCTTGAGCCATACTGTATTTCTAGAGAGGGTTCTGGTTCCAACACCAATCTGCCACATGACCAAGACCAGTCCCTGTCCCTCTGGGCTTCAGTCTCCTGGGATGATGGTGGAGGATGCACTATGAGTCCTCCAGGCCTTGAACCCTCACCCTTGCCTATCACATTGAATTTCACATGTGGCTAGGTGGTTGCCTGCTTCCTGAGAGACATTCCCTTCCTCCAATACCTTTTGTGACTCCTCTATACCCTGTCTACCCATGGACTTGGCAAAAGTAACATGGACTCCCTGATCTATCTGCTCAGGATTCCAACCTGGAAGCAGAGCCTTTGAAAAATGTGTTCCCATTTGTATAATGGCCACAAAGGGTTCTGAGTCCATATGACCTCTGTGGCCATGTTCCCACCACGCTTCCAGGTTCTGGTCTTGTCTAGTCTGGGTTGGGATGCCTTCAGAACAGGAAGCATCCCAGGTCATCAGTCCCTCCCCCTTCTCTATCCTTAGTGGTGACATGACTGTCTCCCTTATTCGTGAATGAGGACAGCAAGCATCTTACAGGTAATGTCCCCCTCTCTCTTTCTCAGTCTTCTCCTCCTCTGTCACCTCCTCCTTCTCTACATGTAAATATTCATGCACACTTGCAGGAGTGCTAAAGAATGAATGGATTGAGAAAACCGCAGAGTAGGAAGTATCTGGGTCTTCTACTTCCCTCAGCCCAAGCTGCTACCCATACTGATGACATCAGAACCCTGTGATTTCAAAGGACTGAAAGCCACCTTCCAGCTTTTGATTTGGAGAGAAGGGCTATAGCTTCCTCCATCTCCTGCCTTGAGAATAGGAAGAAGCACAATGGAAGTTCTGTCTTACAGGAAACAGGCCACCACGATGTCCGTGCCACCCACCCACGAACTTCCAGGAGGCAGCACTGGGCTCACCAGCATCACCAGGCCACTGCTAACAAGGACTTGATTAACATGGGATTCAGAACCCTTCTATTTCAGCAATGTCTGGGCCCACTGGTAACCACTGGCCACAGCCCAAAAGTGATTCAGGAAGACCTTAAAGAGGGGATAGGAACTGCCCATGCTCCCCCCAGGGGACTCATACCCACCCTGCTCTTCAGCTCACAGTGACCCATCAATATTAGGAATGTACCTTAAGATGCTAGACAGTTCTGAGCTGTGTCACTGGGACCAAAGCCCTGCAGGAGTCATACCATGAAACCATCCCCTTTATTCCCAGTGACGTGATTCTTGGAGGCCCACTATTACTCCTGCTCCCACAGGGCCCCACAGGAAGAGAGGGGATATTTGTAAACCGTGCAAGCCTGAGCTCTTGCTTATCAGCTCAGTGTGGGGTACTGTGGGCATGCAGGGAAAAGAACACTGTCCATGACCAGTTTCCGCTCTTTGTAAATTATTTAAGAAATCTGCTATGTCATTTTATTAGAAAGATACCAGAATGTCAGCCTCCCAAATCACATTGCTTTTTCGTAATAAAAATTTGCTTTTGACACTTGGCATTTTTTGAATGCACACACTCTGACACTGCACTGCATGACACAGCCATAGATCTGGAGCTCAGCTTTGTGACCCCCATCCCCTCGGCTCCTGTTCTTCTCTCAGAAAGAACCAAAGCAAAAGAAAATGGCTCAGTGGTTAAGAGCACTGATTATTCTTCCAGAGGACCCCATTTCTATTCCCAGCACCCACACGACAGCTCACAACTCCAGTTCCAGGGGACCTGACACCATGCAAAACACCAATGCACATAAAATAAAAATAAAGAAATTAAAGAAAACCTTTTTCAACTTATCCCAAAACGAAACACATGTTAAAGGCAAATAAGGTTTTTATTTAAGTGACAATGTTTCAGAGTTAAAAACAGCTCACATCAAAATCAAGACCAATTGTAAAAATCTTTTAACTCCACAATGCTGTTTTTGTCTTGTTAGAAATTGGATATTTTACATTTTCTTTTCTAAGGGATTTTGTACAAGGCAGCCATGAGGACTATAATAAGCCTTTTCTAGCACAGAACCAGCCGTCACAGAGAGTACTGGAAGTTACACATGGGACAGGCAGACCGCAGACAAGGTCAGACTGGCTGCCACCACTGAGTAAACAAAGAGAAAAGAACAGTGGGTCTGGGTCTGAGGGGGCCTGTCCCCCCCTAGCCACTGGTGTCCCCCACCTCTTCCTCGCCACCACAGAGTGAAGTCAAATTCTGATTTTCTTCCCAACCTCCCTGTTAGTTTCCCAGCAAGGTCAGAACTCAGCAGGGCTTTGCTACTTGTACTCAACACTTAACTTGGATGTATAAGAAATTCCTCCCTGGCCCAGAAGGGAAAGAAAATGGGAGATATATATACATACATATATATGTATGTATGTATACATATATATATATTTTTTTATTTTCCAGAGCACTTGGAATGGAACCCCCCCGGGATTCCGCTGGAAAGTGGTTGTTTAAGGCGGGGTCAACTGCAAGACTCCTACAGTCAGGGGCCCCTCCCGGAGGGGGCTTCACCTGAGCTGGATGGAGAGTATGCCTGCAAAAGTGGCACCTCCTCTAGACCTGGACGCACTGGTCTGGCAGGGTCCATTCCTCAATGAAAGCTAAGTGCCATGTTTTGTCTGCAGGATACTTCCGGGGCACAGCTCTGGGCTGCAAAGTGCCCCAAGTACAGTTTAAAAACCATTAGGTACAGCCTTCCCTCCTTCTGAGAACCACCCCAATCTTAGGAATACCGGGGTTCAGATACATTTGTTGTAGCCCAGCACCCAGGCAGGAAGGCTGTTCGTCTGAATGCATGAAAATAATTTATTTCTTAAAAAATATGTTGTGATGCTTCGGGGAGGGGTCAGTCTTTGGGGGTGAGGGGCATGATCCTGAAAGAGCAGACTAAACCACAAACAGGACAAGGGAAAAAGGAAGGGGCCAGGCATCCTCCAGCCAGGCCAGGACAGCCACCACACGGGAAGAACAAACATGCCACTCAGATACAGGAACTTTGGTCAAGCAGGAACATGTTTCCAGCAGCTGGAGAGCAGGCACACCAGGAGCTAAAGGTTGCTAGAAAACAGCTAGATGGGGTGTCACAAAACTACTGGAGGAGGCAACAGCACTCCCCTCTGGAAAACACTAGGAAACAGCTCCTTTTGTCTCTGACCTAACTGAACACAGCACTAGTGAAAGCACACATGGAGTACAGTTGCCAGGAAGCAATACTGAGCTGTTCACTCAACAGAGCAGCGAGTGCGCACTTCACCCGCATTGGCCACAGCTCCTAGGGTGGTAGTCACAACACCTGTACACTAGCAGCATCTCAAAAGGGGTCACCCAGGCCCCAATGTGGGGCTCTAGCAAAAAAAGGGGTGGGGCCTCTGGCTGACTCTGACCCACAGCGCCCTGTCACTGGCTCCAGCGC